TTCCATGCCAACAAATTATCAGACTTTACAATACATAAAACTTCAGTTACAAATAAATGTTGAGAAGAACCGGAGATGGTGATGAGTCATTTGAATTACTTCGAAGAAATGAATCAACCAACTTATGGGAATCTTTAAAATCAAGATGGCACCGAAAGTGGACGTAATAAGAACTCCCAGATGACCAATATGTTCCGTTTCCTTGCTGTTTTTCAAGAACTTTTTGAACATGAGATGGGGACAGACATATTGACATTGTCATTGTCCCCAAACACAGTCCAATGTTTCTGCAGACCCAGCGACTGATTAGTCTCCTCAATTTTACAGGAAAGCTAACTGAATTTGGAGAATTTGATATTTGTGAGAGACATCCATTTCTGATCTGAACGAAAATAAGTGCATCCAGTTGTTGTTGGATGTTGATATTATCATGATGGCTTCATCACCTTATTCTACCACAACGGTCTTAGCTTCTTATCAATAAAATCAATCTTTGTGAAAGATCATTTCAGATCAAAAAAGAGAATTATTTTTTTTGGACACGAGAAATATACTCGTTGGTTTCAAAAACGTTTCAAAAAGGTCCTACACCCAGCAAAAATTAAGTCAAATATTGCTATTTGTCAAATACATTTAGAGAGTAATGTTCATGAAGTCCCGCGTCAGGAACTTTCCCAGACCAGGGCAGCAAGAAGGTTTTCTATAAAATATCTTGTGCACTGTTTATTTGAGTTAATGATTGATCTTTTGTTAACTCGATTGATAAAATACACAAAGAGTGAGGATGTATAACATCAAATTGGAACAAATATCGAAGAATTAAAGATAGTCACACATTAAAAGGTAAGACCTCGTTAGTTCTTAGCTCGCACAAGTTTCTCAACTTTTGAGAGTTGTCGTTCGTATGGGGGCGACAGCTGATTAACGGAAAAACAGTTTTTGAACAGATTTCAAACAGAATCACATCTGATTCTTGTCTCTGAATTGAATGAACATTTTGCAACTATGCACACACTTCCCCTTTTTGCAAAATGATGTTAACATATTTCAGTTGCGAAAATGAATGGGAATATTGATGGTAATAACATTTATATTGTGACATTTGATGTTGATAATGATGGTGGACCTATTTTCATCGCTTTCGAGAAAATAACATTGATGTCGAGTGCTTCAATGCCTGAAAGTATCATGCATTAGTTATATTCGATTGACTTATTTCATACAAGATTCTGGTTGAGAATTATCCAGAATATTGTGAATGTGGTAATGACATCAAGTCTTTGCAACCGTCTTGTTTCAAACAATATAATGATTCCTTTAATGGACTTGGAAAAGACAATTTTAAATTGAATAATATTCATCAACGTTAATTCTGTATTTTTCAATAACGCAAACAATCTCAAGAAATTTTTTGAAGTATTTGAATTTGAACACTGCATTTCCAATATACAGTGTGTAACAACAAAAACTTAACAAATCCGTTTTTGAATATGAAAAGTTAAATTTTCAAAAAAAGCTCGGACACGTCGATTTCTAATTGAAGGGGGACTAATCAGATTTTTTGTAGTACGCACCCCCTCGGAGGGGTGCGTCCGACGACCCTTATTTAGATAGAGAAAGTAGGTCGAGTGGCATCTTGATTTCGAATACCTTTACATCTCTGTTAAAAGAAAATTTTTGTAACGATTAGTTTTCAAGATTTGAAGATTTGAAGGTATTTTTATTGAGTTCAACTCAATCCTGTTCAATTATTTCAACTATACGAAGTTGTATTGCCTCTTCAAGAAGTTGTAAATAAGAATCACCGCTTTAATTTCGATTAATGAAAAATGGACCTATAATATGATTGCCTAATATTCCGGCCCAGACTTTCAACTTTTGGGGATGTTGGGTATGTATTTCTGCGTATTGTCTTGGATTTTCATCCGACCAATAACGGCAATCGTGAAGGTTCACGCAACCAGTTAAATAAAATGAGCTTTCGTCCGAAAAACAGATGTTATAAAGCAGCTCGGGATTTTGCATTAATCTCTTACTCATGCCCTCACAAAACTCCTGTCTTCGGTCAAAATCATCCTCATTGAGTTCATAAACAAGTTTAATTTTGTAAGGATGGAATTTGTGGTTTTTAAGGATTCTCATATGGCTTATTCCGGCCATTGCTGATAAACCTCTGGTACTTAATCTGGGATTGGCGATGACCTGACCAATCACTCCAATCACATTATCGTCATTCACTACCCTTCTTTTCTTATTTAAAACCGAACTTGTCCCCCTGAATTTTGTGACCAAATCCAGAACATGATTTACCAGGGTTTTGCTCGTTAAATAAAATTGATGTTCTATTAGCATTTTGATCATTGCCAAAAAATAAAGCAATAAGTGAAACCCTTTCAGCAGTAGTGAAAGGCATTTTTAAACAAATAACAATACACGACCCGTTTAAACAAAACAATCGAACGATGTACTAATGAAAACTGGAAGAATAGGAGTGGGTATTGATTTGAAAAAAAGGATTTTATTCAATAAAAAACTAATGAGAAGAAATGTTCGAAATTTTTTTTAGTTAGGCATACAAGTTACCGAGTGGTCTGTCTAATGTATTATTAACATGGCAATTTTAACTTCAAATTATCTCGAAAACTAATCGTTACAAAAATTTTTTTTTAACATAGTTGTAAAGGTATTCGAAAGACATTTGAAACAAGGTGCCACTCGACCTACGTTCCCTATCTAAATAAGGGTCGTCGGACGCACCCCTCCGAAGGGGTGCGTACTACAAAAAATCTTATTAGTCTGAAAGATGTTTTTCTTAATTAGAAATCGACGTGTCCGAGCTTTTTTTAAAAATCTTACTTTTTATATTAAAAAATGTCTCTGTTAAGTTTTCGTTGTTACACACTGTATATCTAAATTTTATCATGTGTTACATTATTGACCAAACCAAACTTGAAGCTCTCACCACCTCCCAGAATCTTATTTTTTTTTTTAATTCGTGCTACTTGAACAAATGGCTGTCGAAGGTGAGTCGTAAGAGGAAAATATCTGTCAGAAAACTGGCTACGACGTGAATTTGATACTTGGTGCAGAATGAAATTTCGAGTATGTATTAATTACTCTACTGTGAAAAAGTAGGCTTTTGTTCATTTATAGGTACAGTAACAAAAATTGTAGAAATATTTACAAACAATTCAGTACTGATATTTCACATCCTTCTATTAAAATTGCATATTGCAAATTGATTTTGGAGTTCAAATAAAAAGCCGCATTCGATGTTTTCATCTGAAACTTGTAAAAAAGCGTCAGATAAATAGTGGTATGAACATAAAATCTGGCAACATCACAAACTACTAGACCTTGTCGCGACCGTAAGAGAAGACAATGCAGTCCTGTGGGAGCCATTACCTGGGGAGAAGTGCCCATAAATCCTCGGACACAACGGTCAAACACAGTGTTCTGCATCTGACGCGACCAATTAAAGTCAGTAAACACGGGGATTACAATTGCGATCATTAATGAGGTGGCCATTAGTTGCGAGATCAAATCGAGCCGGTGGTAGTCTTTCCATAAACCAAACCGGTGACCGTCATTTGTCTACGCTAACAGGAACAGCTTGCTTCATGTTTCATCCGGCCAAATGTTTTTTCGTGGTATAATAGGCTTTTGCGTTTTGGAGAGTAATAGGGGTTCTATGCATCACCCGTAGGTGGGATCCTGAAAATACTATACTTTTTCTACGACTTCTTTTAGTGACCGCGTATAACCTTATATAATTTTTGGTGTATGTATGATATAACTTCTTCAACAGAAGTACGTACATAGACGGTGGAAATTGGTTTTTCTGTCAAAAATCCATCGATGAACAAACATTTGAAGAACATGTACATATAGTTGAATGTGAACCTCATTTCTCTTGGCTGTATTCATGAATAATTATAAACTTGAAACATTTACATATTTTTACAATAAATATGTAGTAATAATATGTAAAAAAATGTCCTGATCGTAAAAAGTCATAATGAAAAATCAGCCCTTTTCAGTTTTGCGACTAGTGAGATCTTCCTTACTTAGTTTACAAAAGGGTGGAGGCAGTTTATTAATATCGGATGGTTTTTTGTAGTCTCATCAAATGATATGTTGTATCCCCAGCAATCTGCTTCTTATACTTTGAAATATATTTCGAGTGTTCTGTAAAACCCCAACAATTTTTTTTTGGTATCAACGTATTTTTTCCTACCACTCTCTAAGTATATTGTGATAGTAGTGATTATATGGCACGGTTTATAGAGTTGGGTTTCGGAACCATCAGAATACCATCCTGTGCTCCACTCATCTATATATAGTCATGTGGCGTGTCTATATGACGATTCATAACACCTCGAATTTCACTTCCGAGTCATACTCAGCTGGCTATCAAATCTATGGATTTTTACATAGATCCTAGTGAAATCTAGAATTTGCTAACCAGATTGTCTGCATTCGTATCAGCTTCGTGGTGAATTCCAAAGCTCCTGATTGTAGCTTGCAGTGTCAAACAGATTATTTATGGTTTCATAACTCTTACGACTTAGAGTCGTCACTACGTTATTTTGAGTATCTGCTTTCCAGATTAGATACAATGGTACTACGGTCCTTGCTGAGACTTTCAGTCAACCCACATACCTCTGATAATGTCTGCCACAATGGCTGACAAAACGTTGTGTGCTCCAGGTTCCATTCGACTATGACCTACCAGTCCAGATTTTATTCTATTCAATCATGACGTGAAAGCCTATTTCCCATACTATGGTAGTGTTGTTCATATCAACCCAAATCGGAGATTTCTAAGAGATTTTCGTTTGAATGTTTTGATTTCATTCAATAATATTGTTGTATTCTATATGCTAGTATTTTCTAAAAAACTAGAATCAACGTAATTCATTATGTGATATTAAAAAAAAACAAAATACCAGCTTATGTGTATTCATTATTTCATGATTGAAAGATTCATTAATTTTCAGCTGACGTCGTTTTGTGTACTCTTCCTCTCGGAGTCCTCAAACTAAGTGCAGTTCCGTCCAGCAGCCAGCTCAATACCGTTCAGTTTTCTCCACCTCTTCCAGATTGGAAAATTTCTGCCATCCAGCGTCTAGGATTTGGGAATCTCAATAAGGTTGTCCTATGTTTTGAAAGAATATTTTGGAATCCCCAGGCCAACCTTTTTGGTCATGTTGGGAGTACCACAGCAAGTCGTGGGGAATTGTTTCTGTTCTGGAATTTGTATAAGGCTCCAGTACTATTGGCACTGGTGGCTGGAGAGGCAGCTGCTATAATGGAAAACGTGACCGATGATGTTATAGTAGGAAGGTGAGTATCAAAATATGTTTAACGCTAAATGAAGAAACTCAATAACGAGGCTTGACGAAGATCAAGAATAGTTTCAGATTTCATATGTATTTGTATCTTTCATTAAATTCTATCCCTTGAGCATCATTATCAGCACACCACGCTGTTGTGACCTACGAATTGTGGAGAATAATGAAAAATCAACAGCAGAATGGAAACATTGTCGTCTTCATGCTAATATTGATTGATCAGTACACTGTGAGTCATGGACTACTTCCCTTATATGAATAATGAAATAAAATCATATCTTCAAGTATATATCTTTAAGTATATTCAGAACTTTGGAAGTTTTCAGACCAGACCAGAAGGTCACCATTCATGATGGAAGTAACGATAAATCTTTCATAGGTTGAACATGTTATAAATACTGCCAATACAGACTCCCAATAACTTCTGCGCATCAGAAGCTGTTTCACTTTCTGAAAATCTTCATTTATCTAATATGTTTCGGAACTTTTTTAATCAATGCGAAGTGAAACAATTTGGCTCACTGGCTCGTTATTGACTGTAACAAACTGAAGAGTTAGAGATATTGCTATAGTCATAACTCCCAAGTCATTTTCACTTCATCAAGAGATTTGAAACTCTTGAATAATTTTAACAGTGCTGTAGTAGTTGTTCCTCGCTAATGTAATCGTAGCCACTTTTTTGAAGCGATGATGAAAAAAAAATAAAAATAAGAAGTGTAGAGATTCCAAGTCACACTAGTTCACGACGTTTCGATTGTTGGTATCTACAATAGTCTTCGGGTGATGACTGAACTGATTCTTCCGAGAGATGACTATTTATAGGTCGTTCAAATACTTTCACTTATCCTTGCTTCCCATTTTCCGCTTCACTAGTTCCGTGGGAGATGATCGTTTTGGCGGGAGTTGGCCATTTTTCGCTTGATGATGGGTTTCCATGTGTTGCGTATTTCTACGCTGGCCTCGCTGAATACGTTGTTGGACAACATGTATGCGGCTTCCTTGAATTTTCTCCTAAACCAATGTTCCTCTCTGTGCAAGATCTCAGCTTGGGACCACTCGATGTTGTGTTGATGGGTCCAAACATGATCTGCTATTCCTGATTTGCTGGTTTCCCCTCGCTGTGTGTGTTTCTTGTGCTCGGCAATGGCCTCTTAGTTTCACCAATATAGGTTTTTCTGCACTCACAGGGTATCCGGTAAATGCAATTCTTGGAATCGCAGTCCGCGTTTGGTGGCCTGGTTTTCGTGAGGCTGTTACGGATAGTGTTACCGGATCTGAAGCAGGTTCTGATGTTGTACTTGGAACCAATTCTTCTTATCCTCTCCGATAATCCTCTGATGTAGGAAAGTGCAAGCACTGGTTGTGACGGCTTCTCTTCCTTGTGAGGCTCCTGCTGTCTTTTAGCCAAAGTCTTTTCTACCATCGCTTTGGAGTAGCCATTTCGTTGAAGATCATTTTTGATGATGTCTAGTTCCTTCTCGAGACCTTCCTTCGTATTACAGAGTCCAAAAGCACGGTCTAATAGAGTCTTGATGATTCTTCTTTTAGTCGATTGATGGTGGTTGGATTCTTGGTTCAGATACTGTCCCGTATGAGTGCGTTTTCGGTATACAAATGTTTCCTACTTAGTGTCGGTCCTCTTCACCAAAACGTCTAAGAAAGGCAATTTGTTGTGGATTTCCTGCTCCATTGTGAAAGTGATGGAAGGCTCCATTGTGAAAGTGTGAAAGTGATGGAAAGTGATGGAAGGTTGATGTGTTTCAGAAAGGCGTCTAGTTCAGTATTCCCATGGTTCCATATTATGAAGGTGTTGTCAACATATCTCAACCAGACTCGAGGTTTCTTGTGGGCTTTTTCAATGGCCAGAGTTTCAAACCACTCCATATATATGTTGGCTATGACTGGTGAAAGTGGCGATCCCATTGGCAATATCTCATCTACGCATATGTTGCGTAGAAATACGCAACATATGGAAACCCATCATCAAGCGAAAAATGTCCAACTCCCGCCAAAATGGTCATCTCCCACGGAACCAGTGAGGCGGAAAATGGAAAGCAGGGATAAGTGAAAGTATTTGAACGACCTATAAATAGTCATCTCTCGGAATAATCAGTCCAGTCATCACCCGAAGATGATTGTAGATACTAACAATCGAAACGTCGTGAACTAACGTGACTTGCAATCTCTACACTTTTTATGTTTATTTTCTTTTTTTCATTCCTTTATTTTTATTTTGTTTTTATTTATTCAATTGTTCTATTTTTACTTGTTGTTTATTCCACTATTATTTCATTTCAGGTTTATTTTGCTTAATATAATTGTTATTTTCAGTTATTCATTTTTAATTATTCTTTTTTAGTTGTTTCAGGGTTTTCGAATCATTTTATATAGTAGACAATGGAAGTCCGAACTAGTGAGATTCAGATATATTCGATGCAGCAATTTCTGTCTTGTTTCAGATGCATTGCTGTTCTTCGTGGTATCTTCGGTCAATCTGGAGTGCCACAACCGAAGGAAACCGTTGTAACCCGTTGGAGAGCCGACCCGTGGTCTCGAGGATCGTACAGCTTCGTAGCCGTAGGTAGTTCTGGGAGCGATTATGACCTTCTAGCTTCTCCTGTCATACCTCCTAATGCCCAAGGAGTATCAGTGACTTCTGGACCTGCCAGAGTGTTCTTCGCAGGAGAACACACTATAAGAAACTATCCAGCGACGCTGCATGGAGCTTTTTTGAGTGGCCTTAGAGAAGCAAGTCGCATTGCTGATCAGATAATCGGAAACCCTTGTCAACCTCAACCTGCCGAATGAGATTTTCAAGAAATGTTTGTTTGATTTTATATTCGAACTGGTTCATTCTTCGTTAAAATGTAGTTATTGTGTCGCCTAATAATAAATAATTTTGCATCAATTGTATCATTTATTCATCCTTGTAATAAAATAAATCTAATTCGAATATTATTCATAGAAAATTTTTTGTCTGTTTTCTTCAGAAATTTATTGATGTCAGAACTTTGGAGAATACTTTGGGATGGAAGATATAGGCTGAGCCTATGTGTTCATAATATTGATGTGCTCAAATGGTCCCAATTGCCCAGCGGCTTCCATTACTTCAGTTGGTTTGGAGTGGCAACTGAAACGCTAGAATCTATGCATCCGATTCTCACAGATAAAACGAAGAAGATCCCGATTGTTGGTGATGACTTGATGGAATATTTCTGATGTTTAGACAATGCTCAAATTTTCGTAGTAAATAATTAAATTCTGCCATCGCATTAGTTTTTATGAGCAGCGCAGAGTGTTTTTATTCATATGGAACTTAGAGACGAATATTTTGCTCTGGTGATTAACTGTTATGTCAATTTTTCTGAGCACATTGGGATATAGCAGGAGTAAGATGAAGACAACAGGCAAACAAAGTAAATTCACCACACACCGTTTCTTCAATTTCACTCCTCTCTTCGTTTCAACCATAGGTTTAAACTTCAGTGTATGGGCGGTGGTAACCAACAGTTTTTGTACCATCCAGACCTGAAGTAGTGAATTGCCAAAGTCACAGGATATCCTGAGAATTTTTCCAGATTGGTTTTACTGGGATTGATGAATGTCCTTCCAGTAGGATTTACCACGATTAGCAGTTGGTAGATTATCCACAATCCGCGACAACATCTCACTGAGAAAATACTGTTTTTCTTGACTCAAAATATGCTGGACACTTTATGTATTTCATCACACATTAAATCGCAGCATTCATCTTGTGTAAATGTCTTTCAAGTTTTCAAACCGAAAAGTTGGAATTCCATCTTCATTCTTGGGAAAGCGCCTAGAAATTAATGTGTACGATGAAGTTTTTTTCATATAACTTTGTGAAAATATGCTACATTTTTTAATACATTCCATCCACTTATTGTGGTAAGATGCGAGACCTGCTTTTCCTACCACTTTGACAAAAGAGTAAACAGAAACTATGAACCTCTCCAAGGATGACAATATGCACGAGAAAATTTCAAACCACAACCTCTTTGAGCGGGCAAAAGAGATACACCTAACAATGTACAATACAGTACCTCAGTTCAGGTTCGCATTACGTGTCCTATTGTTAGGGTAGCAAATTGTCTGATTAGATCCCGCCCCCTTCACTCCAATCTGAAGGTATCGATTTGAGCGGGTAATCTTCCTTATATTGGTCTGAAATCGATGTAGAGTCTGCAAAACACCGTGATAAATCCTTGGCAGACTCCATAGGAAGGGTGTGTTTTTTCGGGTGTACCAGAGCTTTCAACTTGGTCTTGCACATTTGTTCATTTGAGTATTGGCGCAGCTCACCAAAGGGCTCATACATGTTGGATGACTATTCCAATTGCCATTTTCATTATCATATAACTCAGAAAGAGGTAGCTGATCTGTTATGGTACCTATCCGAAATATATGTCAGTATCATCAATCAATGACAAAACCTACATAATATCATTAGATCTGAGAATCGTGGGCCCTGGTCAGACCTAGCGAAAAATGGTAAAATTTTGTTTTTGACTGCTTTCATCACATGCATATTTGGAAGCAAGACTTGCCAGCTGCAATATCTCTCCTAAATAACTGCAGGTAGTCAGAGGTTCCAAACTGTTCTGGGGCGGAATTTACTTCTATGCTCGTACATCGAGGTCTATAAATTCCCGATACTGCTACTCAGATAACATTATTGACTTTGTAATGCCTTTTGCTCCGTTCATTCTAACAATTGTCCATTCAACATTCAATAACGCTCATCCCAAAGGGCTAGACAGTTTATTGGCTACCTGAAGGATATTAATGTCTCTTTATTAGAGCGGCCACCTTACAGCCAAGATATGAATCCTATTAAACGTCTATGTTTATATCGCAAATATTTGGACTAATCAAAGTGGTGCGTGGATTCCATTCAGGAGTTCATAGGTTAGAGATGTTATTGTAGATAATGAGACCTTACTACTGGTATTGAACGCATCCTACCATACTCGGTTACTGAAGTTAAAAGTATTTTTCCATTTTCAACTCCTGAAATATAGTGAAAAATGAAATATCTGAGTCCATATTTCACTCATAGCTGAAATATCAAAGGTCAAACGTCGTTTCCCATTATCTAGTGAAAGCAAATAACCCGACTTGAATCCACAGGAATAGATAAACAAACCTTACATCGTTAAGAATCTTTCGAGACCTTACGTCTATTTGGACAAATAAATCAAAGTTATATGTTTCCTATAAAACGTTAACATAATAATTTATAGTATAGCCAACGGCTAATTATACATGATGATGGCCGAGCTCGTTTTGTTGAAATATGAAATAACTCGCTTTATCTCGACAACTATCCCTTCCTTTGTTATTAGCGGAGATTCTGTTGATTCTGGGAAGTGGAGATTGCTCTCTCTTTGTTGAAGAATGCCTTTGATAACTTGTACTGGTATTATTGGGTAGTGACATGTAATATATTTTCATGTTTGAAATATATACCTTGTTCTTTATTAAGAAATATGATTTATGAAGCATTATTCTAGTAATCGCAAACAGTTGAGAATCCGATTACATTACAAGCGCTGCAACTGAACGACTCACGCAATCTTACTCGGTGGGCTGAAAAGTTCGAAGGCTGACACACAGATGGCGCTACTAGTATAAAATCCTTATGAGTTACCACCAACCTCCAAAAGACACATATACAAATTTCACAGATGTGGGATTATTAGTTTATGGGATATAACATTTTGAGTGGAGCAACTTTTGTTAGTTTGAAAAAATTGGAAAAAAACGGAATTCAGTGTGTTGGTGAATCTTTGCTTTTTGGCGACAAAAGAAGAAGAAGTCCACAAAATAATTTTGGATGGACTCAAAGTGGAGTTGATCGAGAAAGCTTCAGCTCTAAAGATATGAAAGGGGCGTGTTGGACATATCGTGTTAGAATATTTGGGTAGGCGAAAGCTCTGTTCTAAGTGGGTGCCGCGCGAGCTCACTATTGACCAAAAACAACAACGAATTGATGATTCTGAGCAGTGTTTGAAGTTGGTCCACCATAGAAAACCCGAATTTAGGCGTCGACATATGACAATGGATGAAACATGGCTCTATTATTTCACACCAGAATCAAAAGGAACGTTATCTGAGTGTTATGAATCACACGTTGAAAGGTAAGACCTCCTTAGTCCATAGCTCGCACAAGTTTCTTAACTTCTGAGAGTTGTCGTTCGTATTGGGGCGACAGCTGATTAACGGAAAAACAGATTTCAAACAGAACAGAACAGACAGACTGCACCTGATGAACCGACCCCAAAGCGTGTGAAGACACAACAGTTGACTGGCATCGTTATGGTATCAGTATTTCAGAATGTCCATGGTATAATATCCATCAACTATCATCCATCAACAGCAATTGATACATAGCGTTATTGGAGAGTTTGAAAGACGAAATCACGGAAAAATGGCCTCATTTGAAGAATAAAAAAGTGCTGCTGTCACGAATCAATGAAACCGATGACAAAATTACATGAATTGGGCTTGCAATTGCTCTCAGCGACTTTTTTCCATTTTCAGAATGCTCGCTGGAAAGAAATCTAGCTCCAGGTAATCATCCAAACTGAGGCCTACGTTGGGACTAAAGACAAATCATACTACAAATTGTTTGACTGCTAGAATCCTTGTATCGCTATCGAAGGCAACAGTCAAATTGCATATTTCTCTTCTCTGTTATTTTTCAGCCCAATACATTTTACTGTATCGACAAAAAATTCTTTCTAGTTTCACTTCAGTTTTGATTCTCGTGAGATTCGCTATATACAGTTGTGAGCTATGTGGCCGAAACTAACTTGATGAATATCCATAACGTATTAAAGTATCACTTTATTTTGAGATTTTCACTGGGTAGTTTACAAAACCGCAACAACCGCAATAAGTTCCTCATTGTACCATAGCTTTCTCAAGCGTTTCTATACAGGTGTAAGCTTTTCGAGATATTATTAAAACACATGGCAGTAACTCTTCAGTATTTTGCGAAAAAAATGTTGCTTACGATGTCGCGTACAGAGTATATATATACCTCTCACATGCTGTTGAATGACTTGCCACTTTTCGTCCAGAAATTAAATAATTGGTTGATTCCACATGGTTTTCTGATAGAGTTATGAAATTAAAATATTTCTATGTGGTCGCTTTGAAACATTAAATGGAAAGTGCTTCTGAAACTTTCAAACTAGTTTTCCTATACAAATTTGATTTTGTTTTTGAATCAGATATTATTATATGTTCTGCTTGCTAAATGAAAAAATATATTTCTGTCTCATCAAATACTGCATTCATATCATTTTCTTACATCTTTTCTTTCCAAATTTTCTTTAAGGCTATAAACAAGAAGAAATTCAAGAAGCTTTTTGTCCAAAAGACTAATCTCCCCTGAAAATATCCTTTTTTCAATTTAAATACAGGTACTGATGTTGATATTCAATATACCTTAGCTTGATGTTGATGATTATTTCTTTATCATCAGTGGATAAGGCGAATGTACTCTTGGGTTATCTGCTAATCAAGAATTCTTTTGAAATAAAAATTTCAAACCTCTTCAGGTATTTTATTGAATTTTTTCTCATTCCATCTTTGATCTATCCTTCCTTCTTTGACATTTTTTGGTGATCCAGTAAGTTAATAAATGCAATCAAGTGTGTAATGTCCTATTGGAATGAAAATTTCTGCAAAGTTCATCAATACTTTTACCAATTATTGTGATCATAAAAATGGAATCTCGATAAAATCAGTATCACTTCATATACCTTGAGTAAAACATAGTTTTCATTTTCATTTATTTTCAAACATTCAAGAAGTGTTTTATTTCCTATTTTGATACAGCAGTTATGTATAATATATGTACTGTTATAAAAAGTCTAA